GAAGGAGACGACCTGAGAAGGCACCGAGCTGCAGGCAAACGGAGCGGCTTGACGTGGCGGGTTCACTCCGCAAGCAGAGATTTTGCTCAACTCTTCAGCCTCTTTTTACCGAGACGTCTTTTTGCTTCCTGCAGAGATTTCATGCAGATAAAACCAGATCTGCAAACCGAAATGCTACTTTTGGTGATGCAGGTGCCTTCTTGCAAAATAAACGTTTCTTTTTTGGCTGAGACCACGCTTACGATGCTGGAGAGGTCTAAATGCTCGACATCTCAGTAGTTCACCCCTAGGTTTGTTCACGTAGCTATGGGAGCTCAAGGAGCAGAGCTGCTCTACGGTCAGTGAGCTAGAGCCACAGCCTCTGCTTTTCAGTCCTAGCCTGGGCAGGGACTGCAAATGGCAGTGCCTAAATATTTTCCAACCACATTACAAAGTTGAGGAAGTGAATCTCCAGCTACTTCCCCTCCATCCTGGCTCATTATAAGCTCCAGTAAAGTTTCTTGGATGAACACAAGGGATCTGGATGACTTGGTCAAGGGAATTCAAGTTAACAACTCAGAAATGTTGGGGACTGCCTCCTCCATTCACACCTCTGGACAGCAGAGAAACCCAGTCACTGGCAAGCAGCAGAATGGGAGGTTCTGTACTTGGAAGGAGTGGGGACTGGTTTAATCACCTCACTGGGGTTGGGGGCTTTCCCATGCCATCTTCCAGTCTGGTCTTCTACGTCCAGAATTTTAAATCAGAAGTTTCAGACTTAGCTCACGAATATCACTTGCTGTAAATCCTCCCCCAGCTTGTGGCTTTCTGCTTCTTCTTGCATCTCCACCTCGGGCACTGCACCTGTGGCGGCTGCTCAGAATTTCTGGCTGCAAGGTGCAGCCGCCACCCCACCCGGGTTCATTTCATCAGCATAAAGGCCACCAGTAAAGGATGTCCATGAACAGAGCTCAGGTCCTTCTGCCTCTTTCTTCTTTCTCTGAAGAAGTGAAAACGGACATCTGATCTGGCCTGGGACAGTCTGGAACTCGGTTA